TGTTCCTTCTGCGGACTCAGCTGCCCCTTATCTGACCATTGCCTAATCTGTGGCTCTTCTTCCTGTCTCCCAAGGTCATTCCCACATACCACTACAACATCACTCTTTGTAGAGGTGACTTTTCAGAGATGTCCTGGTGTTTTTAAATTACCAATTAACTTTGGGCTAATTCTTCTATAACATAATTATGGCTCTGAAGAGATCACCCAAATGCCTACTGGTTTGCTACTGGTGATGAAAATGGCTGCCCTATTATATCTGCTTGCCCCTGTTCTTTCCATGGCTCTCCTGAGACAGAATGCAGAGGGTAGGTCCAGCGCTTAGGATATTTATCCAATACTCTCCATTTGGAATAACAACAGATCCATGGAAGTGAGTTGCATACCCCATTTCTGCTGTGGGCTCAGCTGCCTCTTATCTCTTATCTGACCATTGCCTAGCCTGTGCCTCTTCCTCCTGTCTCCCAAGGCCATGCCCACATACCATTACAAAGCACTACCTGTTTTCTCTGTGGAGGAAGATGATTTGATTTCACTTGAGCTTAGGACCTTATTCTTCAATTTTTTTCTTCTTTTCGGCTAATAGGAAAATACTTCCCTGCTTGTTTATCCATTTATTATTAAAGCTTTTTCTTCACTCCAGCAGTTTGGGTGTGTTTGTGTGTGTTTGTGTGTGTGTGTCCAGCGTGCAACTGGAAATCATCTCAGGACCTCAGAAGTCCTGATTTGAAAATGAGCAACTTATACCCACATTAAGACTGTGGTTAAATAGAAAGCCAACAGGTTCAACATTCATCTTTCATTTCCTTTTCTCTCTCTCATTACTACTTTGCCCAATAAGGAGTTGTGGAGAAATTGAAGGATTGCGTATTATTTTATGACCTAAAACTGGTCTGATATAGGAATTGCCCTACTAGGCGCCCCAGAATTTCTCCTCTGGCTGCCTCCGTTACCTTTCTGAAATGCAAATTGGTTTCCAGATGGTATCCTTCGCAGCAGGTGGCAGCACTGATCTGCCTTTTGCTGACCTCCTAAAAGCCCAGCCTGGTCAGAACCACTGGAAGGGTTGGGAGATTGCCAGCCAGGAAGTAGATTAATAGGGAAATAAATAAACAAATCCTGGAAGAAGGCAAAGGAAAACTGATTGTGCTGAGAAACTGACCGGGACACATTCACAAAACCCAAACATGGTATGCTGCTCAGAGTCAGCATTGACTGGAGGGGCTTTTATTTTTTTAATGTGATTTTAAGTCAATTTTGAGTCCTGGAAACTCGATGGATGATTTCTTGGCAGCATTTTTGGATGTTCTTTGCCCTCCTCCCCAGGGCTGAGGGACTGGCCCAAAGTCCCCCAGCTGGCTTCATGCTTGAGCCAGGACTAGATTTCAGTTTCCCTGCTTCTAGCCCAGCAGCTTTAACCCCAACAATCCATCTTTCTGGAGGGGCTTCTAAGTAAAATAAATTCAGTTGTGAAGAAAGCCACAGGAGCCAAGTGCAGCTTGAGGGATCCTTACGTTTTACCTGTTAGCGTTAAAATTCCCTGGCATGTTCCATTGTAAATAGTGGGGAAGCATAGCTGTTTTTTCAGGGCATTTTTAGGGACGAAGCAGATACAGCATTTAGTGAGGGGTGTGTGCAGGGGGTGAAGGGTAGCAACTGAAGTGCTGTAGAGGAATGTGAGCAGGGGGTGAAGGGTAGCAACTGAAGTGCTGTAGAGGAATGTGAGCTAACTAGCAAAAGAGTGGGTTTTTTTCTGCTCCAGCTGTTGGCCAAAGAAAATAAGTTCAAGAGAGCTGAGTGGTACCATCACCAGAATCAATGGCAAAGATGTAGATCAGTGTTTCCCAACCTTGGCCACTTGAAGATGGGTGGATTTCAACTCCCAGAATTCCCCAGCCAGC